GTCATTCTATCCATTGATTTGTGCTATCCTACATGTCATAGCCAAGCTTCTGTGACAGAGTATGGGTCGTAGGTCACAGCAGACCCATACTCTCTGAGGATGACTGCTTCACCTTCTGAGGCAATGCAGAGTGACTTGGTACAGTGATCTGTATTTCTCGAAATTTTTTAATCCTTAGCTCTTTCTCTCGCACTCTTAATAGGCACAAGATACATCAAACAACCTATAGGGGCTTTTGTTTCGTCGTGTGTTTCAAGCTGTTTTTTTGTTGTTTTTCTTACCCTCACTCCTCTCAGACAGGTAATTCCAGTCTCCATTGGCTCAGTCTCTCATGTACATACATATGAAGTCAAGAAAGATACAGACTTTGGGCACTGTATCATTTTGACTGGCAGAGTATTGCGTTGTGCCTTAATATAAAAATTTGATTCATTTTAATTTTTCAGATTTTCAAACATTATTGCAAAGGTTTTGGATAACAACTATATCAATTCCCCTAAAACTCTCTTTCTTTCATGTCAGCCTGTTTTAATGTTTGTATAGAAATATGAGGAAATGTATTTAATAAATAAATCATTATTTCCTTTAGATTTCATCTGTTTCATTAAGAAATTATCACTCCATAAAATATTCCCCAAAGCACGTGAGACCTGAGTAGCCTGTTAGGTGTGCTGCGAAAGAAAAGCTTTCCATAGCCTGGCTGAATGTGAAACTCTAGCTGTGCGTCTGTGTTCTGTGGTTCACTGCATTCGCTGTGAGTGGCCCTCACGATGTATTCTACGACCCAGCACTCAGTCCGATGCACAAACAAGTTTTGCTTTGCAGTGAAACAATAAATATCCAAAAGCACGCTTACCCTAGATAGTCCTTCCTAAAAGGCATTCGGTTTTAGTAGGGGTTTTCTACTAGTGAATCTGTGTGTCTGGTTATTATTAACAGAGGGCACCGGCCATCCTCATTCCATACTAGTAGGACACGTCCCTGTTATAGTAATTTACTGTACTGATTATCCAAACACTGCAGCAGTGAGGGATTACAGGACTAGAGAGTCTTAGTATGTAAAAACAAACCTGTTAGGCCATTGTCCACTGAGCTAATACAAGATCGTACTTAAATTGAACACTACACCACAGACATGGGCCCAACGTTACCTGTGAGACTCCTTGAGAATAGATCACCCTAGTTTAGTGCCAAAGATAGCCTGTACATAGTACACCCCCGAAAGGCTTGTTACCAGCTACATCAATATTTGTGTAGTTGACTAAAAAAGTGGACATGCCACAGTGCCTTAAGAAAACAGTGTGGGTAACTAAGTACTTGCACAGCATTTCACTGAGCTTGAGGCTACCGCAGCCTACACCAGACTGCTGCTGTTCATTTTAACCTACTGTACACTAACTGTGCACCCACTTCACAATGCCACTCTGTGCAAGCACACACAATACACCCTGTCTAATTAAGAATACAACAAATGTGTATCTACACATGCACCAGACACTTTAGTCATGGCCAACCCCAGGACAGCCCCCCTCCTTCCTGTATTTTCCCTGTAAAAACTCCCCGGGGTATTAAGCACATCGACTTTGTAGCACTCAACTTGCTAACAAGTCGAATAAGAAACTGTGCGACTCCTCCGATTTATCCCGACAAGGTACTACTACTACAACACAGTCAAGTGACATGACAAGCGGGACATTTAGCCGCCGCCCGGGATGCGGTGCGCTCCCCGGAACCGAAGATAAGCCTCTGAACACCAACGGGTAGAGGCGTTAACTTCCACCGGGCTCGCGGCTGGTCTCCGAGTGGTTGCGTGAGCTCAAGTGGTGCGCACCGGCACCGAGCTGCTGCTGGCTGCTGCTGCTGCTGCTGCTGCTGTGGAATGTGGATGTAGCTGCTGCTGCTGCTGCTGCTGCTGGTGGTGGTAGTGGGGATGGTGGTGGTGGTGGTGGTTAGATCCCATGACTCCGCTGCCGGTAATCCCATTGCCATTCCCACCACCATACTGCTGGTAATATCCAGACCGGGAACGCGATCGAGTCCTTGGGGGCTCCATGGCCATTTGGTGGGGGTGAAGGGGGTGGAAGAGAAAAGAGGAGGACGCGGCTGGGGACTGCGGCGGAGAGCCGTTGATGGATCCGGGTTGTACAAAGCCCCTAGCGCCGCTCTGGCTGTAACTATAGCCCCCGAGTCCTCTGCCCCCCTCTGCGCCCCCGTACTCTGTTCGCTCCGCCGACTCCGCCGCCCCCGCCTCGTCGAATAAATCAGCCCCTTTAGGGACAGGCTCCGGGGTGGAGGGCAGCCGGGAGCAAACTCTAGGCTCCTGAGTCGTTGGCTGTCCAGCGGCTGCGATTGGCATTTCCTTTCGGGGGATTTCCTCTGTTTCTTTTTTTTTTTCAGCGTTTTTTTTTTCCTCTCTCGTTTCCTCTCACAGAAGAAGCTTTTAGTCACTGTTTAAAAATACAAAGTTGGAAAGTGGTTAACGGTGAAACGGAGCTGCGGGGCCACGCTGTGTTTCGACTGTTTACACAAACACTTAATGTGAACCGCCACTGCTTATTTAACGAGCATGGTTGTCGCAACTTACTTCCCCTCAAGTTTGTCTAAGTAACGACACTAAACACAGCTTGATTCCCCAAACTGGTTCAACAACTAACGTTACTGCCTAAAACAACGTCGGTCTGTTCGGGATATTATCGATATCTCGTGTTTCAGGCACACACACACACACACACACACACACACAACTGTGGCCAGGGGTTGGACAACTTCAATTTAAAAACAATATATGAAGACAGTAAGGTTAAATGTGGCGGCTCACCGGCACCGTGTAGCCCCTAACAACCGCAGCGGGGCCGCATCACAGCACCGAGGACGGCCGCGGCTCGTTAGCTCACAGGAGGCTAACGTTGGGGGGACATGCTAACGGTCGTGCGCATAGCATACCGGGGTAAACACGTTGTTGCGTTTATTCTAATTGTACAACAACCGCGTTAGCGCACACGTCCGCTTTCTTATAACCGTACTTACCACCAACTTGAGTTTAAGGCAACTTTGTCCACTTTAACAACCATTTAAACTTGTTTAGCCAGTCTGCGTAATGTCGTTCGCTAGCTTGGCAAACCATACCAACCCCTCCTCCTCCACCGACCAACACAGAGAAAAATCCCGTCAGCTAGCCACCCACGCCTCGAATCCCTTTAAATTCCTTGGTTAATAGTGACAAAGCTAAAACGCTTTAAAAGAAAAACTTATTCGGTGTGGTTTCGTTAAGTTAGGGTGACCCGGTAAGGTTTTCCCAACTGGAAAGGGGCAAACAGCAAAGCGCACAGAGGAAGATAAAAAGTGGACAACCTAAAATTACAAAGAAAGAACCACGGCTAAAATTAACACGATCTTAAGAATTGACCCCGCCTCTGAGTGTACCGCTGAAACCCGCTCTAATTTACCTGCTCTGAGTAGTTATTTTTTTTAAATAACTTACCTTCAATGTGTTCTCCTCGACTGTACTCCTGACTCGGATCTGTCGATAATATGGTGAGCCCTGTGTGAGTGTGTGTGTAATGTGTGTGTGTGTATGCGCCCAGTGTTCGCTTGGTGTCAGCGTGAAATGTGACAGACCGTCAACGCTCAAGTCGGATTTCACCAGGCCTGCACAATCGATACCGGAACACTATCAGCGTTTGTAGTTTTATTTTTAGCGTACACCTTTCCCCGCACATTCACAGAGAACACCATAACACGGCACGGTTTTTAAAAGCGTTTCTCTGCGGTTTGCTTTCATTCACTTCACTTTTGAACCACGAGTTTACTAGTAATACGAATGTGTTCAGGGTCGGTAATCGACTATGTCTCCTGTTAAATCAGAAGCCGTAGATAGCAGAGAGGCAGGCAAAAGGGGGCTTTAAATTATTTATTTACAAATACCGAGCCTACCCATTGCAGCTGTTTCCTCTAGAGCCGCAAGTTCGCTTTAAAAATAAGTAATAGCTGTGTTTGCAAAAGTTGCATATCACTTTACAGTCGCCGGAAAACAAGATAGGGAGATATAAATGAAATAAAGAGTGAGAAATATAGACGATATAAGGGTTATTTAGCCCACGTCTGAAGTAAATGAGCCTCATTCAGTTTCAATCATCAAGCCTAAATAAGAAGTCTGCTTGTGTGACCTGAGCCACATTTCTCACGGATAGAACAGGTTTGTGTCAAGTGTCACCATCCCTACACAGACAGACTGAGCTCCGTGTGTTCTTACAAGTATAGTAAGATGTGTTGGAGTATGGCAGTGTATCCTTTTTTACCCCCAGCAATTTGTGAATCTAGAAAAGGCAGTAGTGTTTTCTGTGGAAACATTTAATGGCTGTTGTGTCAAAGGTCAAGGATATTGTCTTCATATGAAGCATTTCTGACATAAATATGTGTAAATAATGTGTAGTGCTGATATTCTATGCATATGTGTCTGGAGTGGGGGGGTGTTGGATGGCATGTGAGGGGGGAAAATGAATGTGATCTCTGTCTGTCTGTCTGTCCTCTCTCACACTTGCACACACACGCACACACACACACACACACCAAAACCCATCCCCGTCCATCTCACCTCCCATACACTATTCCCTTGGTCTTGGTCTCTCATTTCACACACTCTCAACCCCAACCCATCAACACCACTCCTAATACACACATAACACCCAACACACACACATTCTCTCCTCATTACACTCCCTTTCCCTACTTTGATGATATGCAAATATCCCTCCCTCCCTCCTTCCCTCACTCCTCCTCCCTTCCCTCCCGCAAGCAGCAAGCCTCCACACACACATAACACACACTCACACGCAGGCTAATGCGCTGTGGCAGCGTCCACAGACAGGCGGGGAGGATCAATTTTTCACCCAGTGTGCTACCGATATTCATAAGATAAGGCCACAGAAGAGAGAGGAGAGGGGGGGAGAAAGGTGGGGGAAGGAAGGGGAGCGGCAGAGATGGGGATAAGGAAAATGGCGAGTGGGTGTAATGAAGGGGAGGGAGTTTGAAGAAAGGGTGTCCAGGAAAAAGGGTGAGTGGGAAGCAGAATGAGAGGAAAGGGGGAAGAAGACTGGGGAGCAGTTAGTAGGGAGGGTAAGCAAGGGTGAGAAAGTAGAGAGGGGTGGGGAAGTCTCGTGGGTGTGTGGGAGGGTGGAGGCAAGATGAGTAAGTGGGTTAGGGGTGGTAGGAAAGGGGGATGGGGTGTAGAGAGGACTCTGGGGGATGGGGTTGGGAATGGATGGGGTGGTAAGGGAGAGAGGGATGGTGTGTGGAGGGGGGGTTATTTTGCTGACGTGCTCTCTTATTGGCCTGTTCAAATGCTGGGGGAGGGGCAGCCACAAACCATACTCTCACCAGCTGTAGGGAAGAGCAAAGAAACAAAGAGAGAGAGAGAGAGAGAGGGGAGGGTGGGGGGCAGATATGTGTTTTAATGTTGATATTCTGGTCTAATTAGATTCCTGTCTAAGTGGCGGAATGAATGGTGCTGATCAGATAGAAATGGGCGTAGCAGAAGAGGGAGCAGGCTTTGTTTGAGTTGGAGATTTCTGTTTTTAGTGCACACAAGGGGTTCTTGATCTATAATTCAATTTCACTTGAGAGACAGAGAGGAGCAAATTGCCAACACTGTCTCTTATGGATACATTCAAACTCACATTTGTTCTTTTTTTATGTAGAAAAGACATGTCTTCTGAGGAGCGGCTGCATTTTAGAAGACACGTCATTGCTTTAATACCTCCAGCGTTACCTAATCATTATGCAATATGGTTTTTGGAGGTTATATGTGACAATGAAGACATTTCAAATTATCCAAATGGGTTTAAATTTGTCTAAATACAAAGTTCACTACAAAAAAGAAACACATATGGCCGCACACAGTATGATGTCTGCCTTGTCCATATGTATAAGAGCAAAAATATTTAACTTTCTCTAAACGTGTCCATAAAATCAAAGGAAGATGAAATAGAAAGCATACACAGCACAGAAAAAGAAATACCATTCCAGCACACACAAGAAGGCAGATTGAGAGCCATGTGTTTGTGGAGCCCAGCTGAACCCCGCCTGCTAAACCAGTCCGCTGGCTGTGACAGACTGACAAGCAGGGAAATAGAGAGGGTGGTGTGTGTGTGTGTTTGTTAGAAAAGAACAAGAGAAAAAGAAAAGAGAAATTGAGACAAAGAGGCAGATTGGCTAATGTAGACAGATACAAATAATAAAACAGAAAGGAAGGAGACAAATAGGAGGGACAGCGACATAGAGAAACATACAAAGAGAAAGAGAGAGAGACGCATACTGTAGTCATACATGGAGAAAGAGAGAGAGAGAGCAGAGAGTAGTGGAAGCCAAGCTTTCTGTGGCTTAGCCAGACTGGAGCGGTGGGACTTGGCTGGCTGTGGACCCTTGGCTTCACTATTAAGGCAAGGGAGAAAAAAAAATCACAGTCAAAAAATGAAAAGGGCAAAGAGCTATGCCAAGAATGCACAGGCAAGAAGCAACACATTAGGTTCTTTCCTTCTGCCTGCCTCTCTGTTTCCCCAAGCAGATCTAAACAATAGGTGGGACCAGCCTTGAGAACTGAGCACTATACACTCAGAACCCTGCTGAGTGACTGAGGCCGACTCTGGAAGTTTGCAATTGTGTATAATGAGCATATCATCTCCTTATTACACAGTTTAAACCTTTTTTGTTTCCTCTTAAGTACCTTTAAGATTGTTAAAATCGTCTTATTTTACAGTCTGACTGTGTCATATCACTATTTCTTCATTGAAGCTATATAATGTTCACACTAAATCAAATATTTAAATCCAACAAAGACATGTTTTTTATGGCTGCAATCAAAATGGAAATATTTTAAATGTCTTGTGTGCCATTTTATACACATTTTAACCAAATTTAGTTTGACATGTTGGAGGCCACAATGTGTTACTAGTGTTACTTTTATTAATTTTTTAGATAACGTTTCGCACTTCGAAAATATCCCTTAGTCTGTTATGTTAAAACAAGACTTTACAGCCATGCTAGCAGCTCCGCTAGGCTGCACTCAGGCACTGCAATGCTTTGAGCTGATGCTAACATGCTCACTATAACACTAAAACAACGCTAACATGCTGATGTTAGGCAGGTACTGTGTTGACTGCATTTACCATCTTAGTTTAGCGCCTTAGCATGCTAACATGTGTTGTGGGAATGTCATTAGATTTTCATGTATTTAGTCATAAACCAAAGTACTGCACACATTAGAAACTTAACTGATGACGGAGATAGAGGTAAATTCAGGAAATCTCCAAAGTATCTTATCATAATTCATCCTGAGGGGGACACGAATATCTGTATTAAAATTGGTGCCAATCTATGTGACCTTCTGGTGGCACTAGATAAACAGTCCCTGATTTCATGGCAGTCCATCCAATAGTTGTCTAGACATTTCACTAAAAGCTATAGCTGCACTAGAGTGAAAGGCAGGATGTCACCAAAGTAAGATCCATCCTCTGGAGACCATGAGTGTGTACAAAATTTCAAGGCCATCCATCCAATAGTATCCAAAACCAAAATGTTGGACCAAACAATGGTTACTAGCTGGGCTCAAAATGTATTAAAAATCTCATCTTGGCCTTTACTATGTTTACTCTCTTTTGGTAAGCAGCTCTTGGACTTAATGGCATCACAAAAACAAATGGATGGCAAAAGTTTAGTTCTCGGTATTCATGGCATGGTGTGTGTTAGTCTCTGTTGCATGTTTGTGTTTATGATAAGCTATTTCAAGTTTTGCATATCAGCCCTATAGAGAATTGAAAGGATGAGTGGCATCAACACCTGTGTAATTTATGCTACTGGCACACACACACACACACACACACACACACACACATACATAAACACATAAACAAAGAACTTTCCTCCAGTGTTTTCTGTACAGACCATACAACAGAATATCCCATAATGCAATCTGACTGACCCAGCTACTCACAGCTACTAATCATGTAGTAATAGTTGCCATGCTATAATCATATCACTACATAGAGGCATGAGGGGGACTTATAGGCTTTGCCAGATTAATAGTGAAAAACAAGGACTTATTTTCCTGACTTTTCCATCCGCTGATACCCTAAGTAGAGGATTATAGCCTTTAGATCATCTGACTCCAGAAAGGCAGTCACAGAGGGGGATAGTTGTGGAAAACACACCCCAAAAATGGCTCGCCACACCATGGTGCACAGCACATACCAAAATATCCCACCGGCTGTTCCAAAATGAGCACCAGAATGGCTGTGAAACGGTAAAGGGTGAGAGGTTTCTTTGGCTTGGTTAAAAAATCTTAAACTGTTTCCCTTTCGTTGACAGCCTGATGATTTGAAAGAAGCAAGGAAAAGTGATGAAAACTGATATTTTTAACATCGACAAAATGAAAATATCAGAGGAAAGTTTCTTCTCCGTACCTCAAACAGGTACCACAAAGTAAATCACTATGTGGTCCTTTGGTTATCTTTGTCTGTCAAATGTTTGAAATGCTGCTTGATTTTGTTTGCCATATGTCTTGTACTGTGAGGCTGATTGTGTGTATGCAGCTGAGATGCAACCCCAAAGCCATGTCATATTCTGGGCTCGGAGGAGAAAGGAGGATGCCAAGAACTGAAACGTGATGACGAGTGGGTGTGTGAGAGTGAGTGGGGGAAAAGGAAGCCTTCCAAAGGCTTCTTATTCGCTCTGTGTGTGTGTCTATGTGTGTGAGTGTACTTTCATGTGTACGCACATGTGATCAAGAGTGCATTTATGTGTGGGAAGAAGGAATCCTTCCAGCCGTTTTCTTTCTTGAGCCTCTTCCTGTGCCCCCCCCGCACACAAATCTCAAAGCCGGCGTCGGAGGGTTTGGCCTCAGCAAGATCCAACCCACCAGAGGAGACGGAGTAGAGGAGCCAATGTTTCTCTCCCTCTCTCTCTCTTTCGTCCGAGCTCTGTCTGTTTCCACCACTCACTAAATGTTACTATAAATCCTGTCACACACACACACACACACACACACAAATATTCCCACGTCTCTCTATCTAGTGTGTGTTGGTGTATCTCATATGACTTGGCAGAAGTCAACCATGCATATGTGCGTGCCAGTGCGGGAATGTGTGTGTTAAGAGTTTTGGCAGTTTTCTCAACGCAGCCTTACCAAAAGATCCTCTGGGAAATGTGGTTTTAACGCCCCCTCTCTTCTCTCCTCTTGTTCCCTTTCTCTCTCCATTTCACAATTACATTGCCTCTGTTTCTCCATGCTCCGCTCCCTTCTTTCTTTTTAATTTCCTTTACATTTTCTTCTAATTCAACCTGTGGAAATCTTCTCGCTCTATTGACTCCAATATGTGCTTTTTGTGCATATTCACTATCTGCTGTCTGTTAAAGTCATGACATCATCATTTGCATTCAAATACATTGTAAGCTGCGCATGCATATAGGCCTCAGATTCAGGATGTAACTCTCCTAGCGCTGTCCACACACAATGAATGCTGATGGAGGGACATGATAGGTTATCCTGTAGGGAAGTATGGTCAGATGAAATAGCTACTTGGTATTCCATCCCTCTGCAAAGCGTGACACACAGGAGGGGGATGCTAGCAAATATGCAAATGATGAAATACTTCATATATTTCATAGCCCTCTGAAGTTCATCAGCAACAGAAATGATACGCAGATGTTTTTGTGATGCGTGAGGGGTGAGAAAATCACGAAGCATGACAAATGTTGTAAGGTACATGTATATATGCATGTGTTTTCTCAGTGGTGGAAAGAAACTAAGTACATTTACTCAAGTACTGTGCAAAAGTACAATTTTAAAGTACATTTCAGGGGTAAATACACTATATAACAGCTGTAGTTACAAGTTAATTTGCAGATCACAGGTTTAAATACTTGTTCTGTTTCTAAAATATGATGCATTGTTATACATTAAACCATAGCAATATATAAATTCATTGTATATTATATATACATTTATTTTTTGTATATATATATATATATATACTGGATTTATGCTGTTGTGCTGTGAGTCTTACATTTAATGGACAGTGCGTTCTTGCTAAGTAGTTCTTTTAGAGTCTTAGCTTTTTTTTGTTTTTTTTAAAGTTATTTTTTTGGCCTTTTTGGACAGTGACAGCTATAGGTAGAGAGGAAAGGTGGATAGAGAGAGACGGGTTGACATGCAGCAAAGGGCCACAGGTCGGTTTTGAACCTGAGCCACTGCAGCATCTCTGTATATGGGTCGCCAGCTCTACTGACTGAGCTAACCGGCGCCCTCTTAGCTCTCTTTTTCAGTATAAGATTTTATTGTGTTGATAAATTATATATGGAAGTATAAGTGAACAAGAAGCTTGATTTAAGTCCACTTTATGCAGTATTTACACACTATTACTTCTACTTTCCAGCATAATCTATTGTCTATAATCATTCCCAGAAATGGATTTCACTCTTTCAATTTCAACATTATTTTTTTTTGCTTAGATTCAGAGATTGTTTGTTAACTTTTTTATTCCATCATCCTTCTTTGTCAAAACAGGGTACCTACATTACCCACAATGAAACACAACAGTCCACAGTCTGGTTTAGTTCAGCTACTATCCTCAAGCAGAGATAAGGAGCCGGCTAGAGATGTCTGGTAAATTGACTTCTTTGTAACTCTGCACCAACAGAATTTTTCTAATTTTCTAACTTAATTTTCAACCTTTTAGTCTTCAACCCCAACCAACATCGATTCAAGTGATATCACTTTAGGCAATTTATTGGATTTCACACAAAACTTTTGTCAGATATAGAATAGTACTCCCCAAGACCTTTAATGTTTTGGAAACAACAAACTAGCTACAATGTGAAATGCTGAATACAGGCCTACAGTAATTCATCTGTAATAGTAATCCAAAAATTTAACACTTTAAATCATTTTTCATAACAAGATATTTCACTTTTAATACTTTGAGGACATTTTTGAATACTTGTGCACTGTATTTTAGTAAAATGTTGTATTCTGGAATTTTATTTGAGGTTTTGTTTCTTTAGCAAAAGATCTGAATACTTCTTCCACCACTATAATTTCCTGTCTGCGATCATGCAGTTGTATGGCCCTTTCAGTCACATTTATAAGCAAGAAACAAGTCCCATTGACAATGATAGGGATCGAACCACACAGACATTTGCTTGTCTTCCACACTGACTTCAGCGACCCTGTTCTGCTCTGCGAAGTTCATCAGAGTTCATCTTCTTTGTCACTGCTGAGCTGAGGCCGGCTACTGTCTCCATCCTTGTCTCGCTCATCTCTCCTCACCCCTGTCCCTCTCCAGGTCTGCTTCCATCATCTATCCCGAGGGAATAACAGCCTCCACCCCTCCCGTCTGTCCCTCAACCAACCCGACCTCACCCTGTCTCTCCCTCTGCTCTTTGGCTGCAGCCTCTTTATGTGATGTCATTGAGGAGAAGTGCAGCCTTTTTGGTTAGTGTGTGTATGTGTATGTGTGTGTGTGTGTGTGTTTAAAGCTGTATGGTGAGTGTCTGTGTGAGTCAGTGAGCAGGGGTGTGCATGTGTGAGTATGTGACAGAGAGAGAGAGGGAGAGGGGATCGACAGAAAGAAGGAAAGAAAGGCACAAGTGTCAGGTTTCCCTTTTCAATTGGAAGGATCAACTCCTTGTTTTAATCTAGAAAAGAGGGTGAAAACAGCAGGAAAGGAGAGACGGTAGCTGGGAATTTGAGCTGCTGACAGCTGTTTTTGTTCCTTCTCTCCTCACCCCTCTTTCTTTCTTTCTTTCCAGTGTCATGACTGGGTACTCAAAGCATTTGCATAAACATATACACAATTGACTATAAAATGATGCCTATTTACATACCTTTATATCTGTTATCATATATAGAAGGCGTGATTAGAGATGCTGCCTGTCTCTTTTTTTCCACTGATGACAGTATTTACCTCTCAAATCACATTTTTCTCTCTTCCTGTGACGTCTCACTCACCACATCCTGGTTTTGACTTCACAAGACGCTGACATATCTACAGTTTAACGGCTTTCCTGTCAATTTTCAGTTCACACACACACTTACGCACTCGTATGCTCTCGTAGGATATATTTTCTCACCCCACCAGCTAGTGCACGCACCTACACTGTACAATAAATAAATATACACCATCATGGTAGGCTACTGTCCAATCTGTGGGAAGCCCGTTTACTTTGGTGAGTGTGATCTTTTTCATTTTTTACTCTATATGTCAGTCTTCCCCTGTCTGTCTGGCATTCTCTCTTTGTCTTGTTCTCTATTTGTTTCAGTTTG